AAATAAAAAATATTAAGTTTGAATTTATTAAATATTAAATAATAATATTTAATTAAATTAATTTTGAATTTTCTTTTAATTGTAGTGGAGAGAGAGGGTTATGGAGAAGATCAAGGGGGAGAGAGAAAGAGAATCATTAATGAGTAATATTAATTATATTTTCATAATATCTTATTTATTTCAACTAACTATTAACTACTAACCCATATTAACTACCTAATCTAGTATCAGCCAATAAAAATGGTTTAAAAACCTCCTTAAAAAATGAGGCTTAAGGATCGGATCCAACCCGTTGCACCGCTCTTCGACGGGAAAAAAAAACTTTCTGTCTTCCTCAATCAGCCATCGAAGACTCCCCCACCAATAGATTCTGATTCACCCTACTTAATTGTCCTCGGCGTCCTCGTCGGCGACTTGAGCAGATAGTGGCGGGTGAGATGGCAAGCGGCACGAGAAGATAGAGAGACCCAGCTTTCTGCAGGCGAATGACGACCTTTGGCAACTTCTTCTCCCTTCGTCTAAAAAGCACACAATATCAATTATTTGAGCCAATTGCTTCCTAGCCTTTTGGTTCCTTCATACACCAATCTTTTTGAATAATTGTAGATGCCTCCACCAACTCACAAATTAGCCATTTGCTTTCTAATCCAACCGAGATCCATCATCATGACCTAATTCATCCAATCAATTATCATCTTCCGAAGCTTCGTATCACAAGGAAAATACCACCCTTGCGAACAGAGCGATAAGCCTCTGAGAGGTGAGGAGAGGCGTAGCCAAATTTTCTAGTGTCGGATTCGTCGCATCTCATCACTAGCGGGTATTATTCATCGTCTCGCCCGCTGTTGTTCGTCGAGTCTAACCAGCGGGTACTCGTTGTCTCGCCCGCTGAAACCAGCTCCAGCAGCCATCGAGGACAAGCTGGGAGCAGTCGGAGTTGATGGACGCCGGAGTCTCTATGGCGGCGGGTGATTGAGGAAGACGGAAAGGTTTCTCTTTGAAACAATGGAAAATTTAATTTTTTAATTGAGTTGTAACTTGTTATAAAAAATAATAAAACAAAATTAAGTATAAATGAGGGCATTTATGTCGTTTTTTCCCCTTATTTAACGGCTAATTAAGGGTAAAATACTTTGGATGCCACTTAAATTTGAGAATTGGGGTAGACATACCACTTAAGTTTGAATGAGGCGTCGGGTACCATTAAAGTTGCTAAAATGTGCATCAGTCTATTTTTCCATCCAGTCCAAAATTTTAATTACTTTTTCCATACCCAAAATTTTAAAAACATCCAAAACTATATTTCAATAAATTTTATATAATATAATAATTAGAAAACCTTCTAAACATATTATTACTAGAATGACTAATCAAAATTTTGCAATAAAATACATAAATTAGTAAAAATAGTAAACGAATATCAAGAAGAATAATCAATATACTAGAATATAATAATAAATATTTAAAATAAATATTAGAATAACTATTTAAACCCCCTAATTCAATTAGAATCACCATTCAAAATATTTAAAATAGTTTCATAAAAAAAAGTAGTTAAAATAAAACCTAATCGATCATCAATGCATCAAAATAAAAAAAATAAAAAGACAAATGGAACACAATCAGAAAGAATTAAACATATTTCACTCATTGAAAAAAATTAGAATGAAAAGAGATGAAAAGTAACCAAGTAATAAACAAAATATAAAAGCTACAATATTCAGTAAAAAATATAGAAAAGCAAATATGACTATAAAAGCTACAACATTGTTTAGTTACAACATTCATGGAATAATTCAATTATTAGAACACATAATGATTATTCTAAATAATTATAATGATAATTGATTCTAAGATTTCTATTCAAAAATTGATTTTTGATAATTGATAATTGATTCAATTATTAGAACACATAATGATAATTCTAAATAATTATAATGAATAATTCAATTATTACAACATTCATGGTATCAAATATTCAAAAGAGAATTCTAACTAAACAATAAAAAATGATTTTTTTCATAAGTCCAAATGATTTTTTTACAATAAGAAAAGTAGAAAGACCAATTATGAAATTTAGAAAATGGAATATTTCAAGAACATTCTGTCAATTTTAACGGAATGCACTTAACCGTAAACTTAAGTGGTACCGGATGCACATATAATAGAGTTCAGTGGTACCCGACGCCCTATTCAAACTTAAGCGGTATTTCTACCCCAATTCTCAAACTTAAGTGGCAACCGAAGTATTTTACCCGCTAATTAACAGATAGTAAATAGTAAAGAAATACAAAATGCTATTAACTCTAATAAATAATAATAGGATAAATACAATTTAATATCCAAATCTTTCATTTTAAACAATATAACAATTTAATATGATCAGTAAAATTTCATCCCAGCTTTTTATCATCAAAGTCTCTCAAGGTCAGTTCCAACTCATTTTTATCTCAACTTAGGTTGGATAGATTCCCAAACAAGACTATAGGTGACAATCGGGCGGGTTCGGGCTGGGTTCAATCGGGTTCGGGTTCATCGGGTTCGGGTTCAAACGGGTTGCGAGTTAGTCGGGTTGCGGGTTCATCGGGTTCGGATTCAATCGGGTTGCGGGCAAATTGGGTTGCGGGTTCATCGGGTTTTGGGTCGGGCGGGTTGCGAGCGGGTCGGGTTTCGGGTTGTTCGGGCCAGCGCATCAAGTAACTTAACTCATTACTCATTACCAACTTACACATTTTATTACACTAATTTAAAATATTTTCTCAACTTTTTAACCAATTTATTTCTACCTCGTATATATATACTTTATTTTTTTGAAAAAAAACTAGTTAAAATGTTAAATCAATTTGTATGACTTGCAAACTTGTTATGTAATTAATTATAATTGGTAAAGTATTATAGCTAATAGTAATGGTGATATCAATATTTGCAACCAAAAGACACCGTTAATTGTTTATTTGATATTTTAGTATTAATTCAGTAGTAATTAGATTAAAGTATCTCGTTTAGTATAACCATGCAAATCTGGTATTTGGCATGTGGTGTTTGGCAATAGCATAATGATAAAAGGAGTTATTTCAAAATAACTCATTGCCCAAATAACTTTAGAAAACTGTTGCCAAACGAGTTATTTGTAAAATTGTTCGAATTATCCTAAAAATTGAACCATTAAAGATTAGCTATCAAATTTAGTAAAATTATTGTGATTTCAATCATAACTTACTCAATAGCATATATCCTATACACTTAGCTTTACCCTCAATCAACAATATTAAGTTAGTATATGTTGTTGATTGTATACCCTAAACCATCAATGCATTATACACTAACCACATAACCTATACCCTAATCATATGTCCTTGAGTTGCGATTTTGCTAGTATAGTTAATTTAAAAGTGAAATTCATACTTTGATTTTCAAAACATAGATAAAAAGTGATATTTGCTAATTGTTATACCCTAACCATATATCCTATACTTTACACCACATACCTTGTACCCTAACCACGTACCATAAACATAAATTAAAAAGGGATCTCCTGCCGTTAAAGACTTCAAATGACTTCAAGTGAACATATGTTAATAAAAAACTTAGAACCGTCAAAACCATCAATATCTTATACCCTGACCATATACACCCTAAACCATATGTACCTTATACCCTAACCATATACTTTATATCCTAAACAACGAACCGTCAAAGATTACTTATCAAGTTTAATATAAATTGTTGTAACTAATGGCTAATTTATTTATTAGCCCATAAAAAATTACATACAAATATACATATTAGCCTTCAAAACATATAAAAATAATTTTAACTAGTCATGCCCTCCATATAAAAGTTAAAGATTCATATTTCAAAAGCTAAAATTATGAAAAACCAAAAAATTAAAAACACCAAATTTGTTTTATTCTTTCTTTTCACAAAAATACTAAAATTTTCCTCCTTCCTTCTCCTTCCATACATTAGAAAAACTCAATTTTCCCTCCTCTTTCTCTTCCATAAAATTGAAAGAAACAAATTACCCTCTTTTTTCCTTCTACAAAAAGTTGAAAAGTCAAAAGTTTCCCTCCTTATTTCTCTTTCATAATAAAAAAATCAAAATTTCCCACTTTTTTCTCTTTCCACATATCAAAACCACCAAAATTCCCACTTGTTTCTTTTCTAAAAAATTCAAAAAACCAAATTTCCCTCTTCTTTCTCTTCCCAAAAACTTGAATACACCAAAATTTTCCTCTTCTTTTAAAAACATCAAATTACCAAATACATTACTTTACCTTATTTATATTTAATTGATAATTTTATTGAATAGTTAAATTAATCAAAATTTTAATTTATATATTATATTAATATTGTCATGATCTCAAGTGACCTTCATGTTTCAATTTTTGTAATTTTCTTAAAATACGTAATATCAAGTGAGTTTCATATTTTTAAAATTTCTTATACGAAATGAAAAAATAATTTTACTTAAGTTTAGAATGAAAAACTTTATTTTGAAAAACTATGTATTGTATATTTTTATAATTATTCAAGTGGATTAGATGAAATTCGGGTTGAGTCGGTCGGGTTACGGGTTAGTCGGGTTTGGGTCAATCGGGTTCGGGTGAATCGAGTTGCGGGTCAGTCGGGTTGCGGGTCAATCGGGTTCGGGTTAATCGGGTTGCGGGTCAGTCGGGTTGCGGGTTAATTAAGTTGCGGGTCAATCGGGTTGCGGGTCGGGCGGGTTACGAGTTGTTGACTTTTAGTCAATTCAAGTTGCGGTCGGATTACGGGTCGGGTTAATCGGGTCGAGCTATGTTTTGACAGACGAAAGACGACGCCCCTCAATCGTAATTCTCTACAAAACGGTACCCACTTGTATACTTGTCAGTTGTCACTCTCTCTCTCTCTCTCTAGGGGAATAAATTAAAAACCAAAAGAAAGAAAAAGGCAGAGAAAGTACAGCAAAAAGAATTCAAAATTAAAATATAAAACGGCAAATTTGCCAGAGCAAACAAATGAACGATGGTGATTATTTAAAAGAAAGCGAAGAGGAGAAAATGAGAGAAGAAAAAAAAAACACGCAGAGGGAGCGAGCGTACAGAGGAAAGAGAGAGTGAAGAAGGAAATATCTGAGTTTAAAGGAAGAAGGAGCGAGTCAGAGCCCCCGAGTTAGGTCACATCGGCCACCCCGTATCGTCCATGACTCGGTATTGCTGCTGTCGGTGTTAATTTCACCCCAGGGCGAGCGCCAGCCTAATCCGTCTGTCGAGAGAGAGAGAGAACAGATCCTAACTCCGTCGGCGGCTCCGCTGCTTCGCGCTCTATCTTCCAGTCCTCGCCCCATCACTCGTCCTTGTCAAAGCATCCAAGTAGCAGCAGCTGATCGGCGGGTCCGTTTTTTCGCTTTCTAAGCAATTGCCTCTTTTTTTTGTGCTTCAAAATGTGATGTGGAATTGTTCTTCCCTTGTTTGGTTTCTCGAAAAAAAATTTAGTCTATCTTCCCCCAAAACGGTTAATTCTTAAGTTCTTTCCTTTTCTAAAACCGTCCGGAATGAATGCTGCGATGTTGCAGTTCGTTAGGTGGCAGTTACTTGATTGGTAGAGTACCAGTCAAATGCTTGTTTCTTCTTCTGGATTTACTTCCTTCTTTGTCGTTTTCGTCTTCTTTCCCCCCCTCCTTTTCTCCGCATTTTCATAACTTTGCATAAGGATTGTTTCCAAGTTAATTGGCCGCCGTCTTCAACATTTTTCTCTCAATATGTATGGCAATTACTCTGCAATCTCTTTTCTCGGGTTCGATGTGCGTTGAGCTCAATTTGTTTGCACTTTTCTTCTCAGATTTACGCTTTGTTGGTGGTTTGACCAGAGCATCGATGAGGATACAGGTTAGTTGGCTGAAGTAGAATTGGAGTTTGGAGGCTGAGAAAGTTGAGTCATTTACGTTTTCGGTGCTTTTCCTTATTGGGTTTTGCTCCAATTCTGAATTTTTGTGTTCGTTTTGATTCTTTAGGGGTTTCCACGTTGGTTGTAGCAGAAGACTACTGATTCAGATAAACCCTAATGTTCCAAAAAGGTGTACATTGTGGGGTGAGGTAAAGGATTCCCTACATGGACCAGAATTTGTAGGATAGAGATAGAGGAAACTTGAAGGACCGAGTTATTATGATGGAAGACTTCTCCAGGTATTCTCACAGTCCTGCTCACTTGGCAGTCGCACGCCGTGATTATGCTGGCCTTCGAAGCATTATCTCTAACCTCCCTCGCCTTGCCAAGGCTGGAGAAGTTACTAATGAAGAACAGTCAGTTGCTGCTGAACGAGAAGCTGATGCTCTGTCAGCTATCATTGATCGCCGGGATGTTCCTGGTCGTGAGACTCCTCTACATCTCGCTGTTAAATTGAGGGACCAAATCTCTGCAGAGATCCTAATGGCAGCAGGAGCAGATTGGAGTCTGCAGAATGAGAATGGCTGGAGTGCCCTTCAAGAAGCAGTGTGCACAAGGGAGGAAGCAATTGCTATGACAATTGCCCGTCACTATCAGCCGCTCGCCTGGGCAAAGTGGTGCCGTAGGCTCCCTCGTATTGTCGCTTCGGCAGCTCGTATTCGTGATTTCTATATGGAGATTACGTTTCATTTCGAGAGTTCTGTCATTCCCTTCATTGGCCGTATCGCTCCGTCAGATACTTATCGTATTTGGAAACGCGGAGCTAATCTTCGTGCCGACATGACACTTGCTGGTTTTGATGGGTTCCGGATTCAAAGATCAGACCAGACGTTTCTTTTCTTGGGAGAGGGTTATTCTGCAGAGGATGGTGGTGGAATGTCTTTACTACCAGGTTCACTGATTGTTCTTGCACATAAGGAGAAAGAGATTACTAACGCATTGGAAGGAGCAGGTGCACAACCAACTGAAGCAGAAGTTGCACATGAAGTTGCTCTCATGTCGGAAACCAATATGTATAGGCCGGGGATTGATGTGACACAGGCCGAGCTAGTTCCTCATTTGAATTGGAGACGGCAGGAAAGAACCGAGATGGTTGGGAACTGGAAGGCCAAGGTTTATGATATGCTTAATGTGATGGTAAGTGTGAAGTCGAGGCGAGTTCCTGGTGCTATGACTGACGAGGAACTTTTCTCTGTAGACGATGAAGAAAGATTAGCAAATGGAAGGGATCAGGATGATTTTGATGATGTATTGACACCTGAAGAGAGAAAACAGTTAGACTCTGCACTTCGTATGGGAAATTCTGATGGTTTAGGAGAGGAGGAAGAAGCTGGGGGTGTTGTTGAGTACCAAGAAAATGGTTCCGCAGGGCCATGTCAAAACGGTGAATCGAATGGTACGACTAAGGATAAAAAGAGTTGGTTTGGTTGGAAAAATAAAGGTGGAAAACACAACAATGATGACTCTGAAGATCCAAAAATGGGGAAGAAGTATTCGAAGTTTAGACCGGAAGGTGGCAATCAGAAATATGGTGATCACCAAAATTCATCATCTGAATCTGGTCGGGATGATGGTACAGGAGATGCGAGGAAGGGAAAGGATAAAAGTGGCAAGAAGAAAATAAAGAAAGGACCGAGTAGTGAGTCTAAGAATGAAAGCGAGTATAAAAAGGGTTTGCGTCCTGTATTGTGGCTGACACCTGATTTCCCCTTGCAAACGGATGAGCTCCTGCCTTTGCTTGACATATTAGCCAACAAGGTTAAAGCTATTAGGAGACTCAGGGAGCTTTTGACTACTAAACTTCCTTCTGGAACATTTCCTGTCAAGGTAAACTGGAATAGCTTCTTCTGTTATTATTCTTTGTTCAAATCTGACATCTTCTGTTGCCAAACCTGTAAGAGCAACAGAGTTTATAACTGACCTCAATTACTGGTAATATCCCTCTTGTTTGCCGAACCCTTCTTTTCCCGTTCGGCTGGTGAAAGTGGGTTAAGATCTGAACCATGCATTGTGATATTTGTTTGCTTGCAAATCAGCAGCCTGTTGGCTTGTCTCTGGAAACAAGCACGTTTTGTTGAATGTGGGATGTCTTTAATTCATCTGTCTGTTTTGGTCTTTCCGAAGTAGAATGGCTCCGACCTCATTTGTAGTTCAGGTGCTTGGTGTCTTGTTGATATCTGAAGTGAAATATTGTACACTGGTGCCCACTTTTGTTTCTGAATGATCTTTTGGATAATTTAAGCTAGGTGCATGCCTTTATTTATTTTCGGGCACACTTGTTTCGCGTCTTAGAAGTAACCACCTGGTAGTCTAGTTATCTAATTTCTCTTGCTGAATTAGCTTTGCTCAACTCGTTATCCAGACCCCACTGAAATTTAACTGTGAATTATGCCATTTTCAATTGTATACTAATATCTTGTGCCACCTCTTAGGACATGGGAATTTGGTTACTGAGTTGGGATTTTTTACTTTGAACGTGCAACATGCTTTTGAAACGTATTATACGCTACTATAGATGAACCTTCCGGCTGTATGCTGTTTCTGTGAAAGTACTTGGTAGCAACCAGTTCAACCTGCAAGCCTTTTGAAGGGTTATTTCTCTTGCAGATAAGGGAACTTGAGAAGGACTCCAAGTTGAGACTTGGCTATCAATTTTTGGGTAGCTTCAGTTCTAGTTCATTCCCACCATACTCATGTTCTGCTAATTTACAAACATACTGACATTGGTTTTATTACGAATGGTCCATCATTTGAAACTTCAAGAATGAATTATCTGATATAGAGCAGAGTTTGTCCTTGTGTCAAATCCAACACACGGCGTAGGTGCCCAAGATACAGACTTAACTTGCAAGAGTTTTTGAATGCTTTCCATTAGAAATCTAAGTGAGTTACAAAGCAGTATTGTGGAGGTTAAGTAAATGAGTAGACCACCTTTGAGAAGATAGGTAACTGGCAAAAGTTCTATTTAATTATCGATCCCATCTGTTATTGCAGTTGCTGCTGCTTGTAACAATAGGATACTAAGCTTGAGTTTTGTTGGGTCGAAAAGCTAGTTGATGCAACTGTTGGACCTTAGCTTCCTTCCAGTAGCCCATTGGGAAGTGGAATGCTCATGATCTATTGCTTGCGATTGCAGGTAGCCATACCTATTGTTCCAACTATAAGGGTGATTGTCACATTCACAAAGTTTGAGGAGCTTCGGCCAGTGGAGGAGTTCTCAACGCCTCTCTCCAGCCCAACACATTTCCAGGATTCAAAATCCAGGGAATTCTCATCGGATAGCGGGTCGACAACTACATCATGGATATCTTCGTGGATGAAAGGTGGGAGTCGAGGAGGGCAATCGAGTGATAGTGACAGCCATCGGTTCAAAGATGAGTTTGACCCCTTCCATATACCATCAGACTACAAGTGGGTTGATGCCAACGAGAAGAAGCGGCGGATGAAAGCTAGGAAAGCCAAGACCAAGAAACATCATAGGAAGCAACACCAGCAGGCAGCAAGACCCGGCGTTGGAGGAGGGGATAGTGGCGGGGCACATAATCACAGCGAACATGCTGAAGACTAATGACAAAGATAAGCATTCATCGAGTGTTCGGCCTCTTCAGAGTGCATGCAGAAAAGGGAGGAGGCAAGGCCCTTCTTTACTGAGAGGCATGGCATAATCTCCGACGGGTTTGATCATTGCGTCTTCTTGTGAATCGCCAGGAGATTGATTTATGAATATATTGGTTGGTTAGGTTGAGTTTTACTCTTTTGATGGGTTGATTATGAAGCTCCCCATATGCTGTATTTGTTATGTGAAAATTTGCAGAGGGTATTGGATGGGGATCCTGATCCTCTTATTCCTCCTGTCTTTAACTTTCTCTCTCTGCCCCACTGTCTCAGCCTAATAGTTTGTTCTTTGGTTGGTTTCCTTCATTTGTTGTTTGTGGATTAACCCAATTGTACCCAAGTTCTTTGTTATCGAGTTAACAAGCAGATTTTACCCAAGTTCTTTGGGTAAATTGCAAGGTTGGTCACTTTGGGTAAATTGCAAGGTTGGTCACTGAGATTACAAAGAAACGTTTATGTTTGGTCACCAAAAATATTTAAATTCATTCGTGGTCATTGGAATTAATCAAATAGTCCAAGTTTGGTCACTCTCCGTTACCTTCTGTTAACTCCGTTAATTTTTTGCTGGCGTGGCTAACAGAAGTGTCTAATCAGCTAAATTTAACAAAAAATAAAATAAAATTCAACCTGCCACGTCATTAAAATCAGCCACATAAGATAACCGACTCTTGACCCGACCCTTAACCCGACCCTTCATCTTCTTCCTCTAGTTGACCCAATTGATAAAAAATAAACCCTACCTCCCAACTCACAAATCAGATCGCAAGTAAATCTCCCAACTCCCAAATTTCTCCACTCCAACTCCACCCTCACGTCCCATTCCTCAATCCCAAACTCTCCTCCTCGCTCTCCATCTTCTCCATTCCCTCCCTCAACCTCCGCACCCAAGGCAGCGGAACCGCTGCTTCGTCGTCCTCTCCATCGCGGCAACCGACACCAAGCACACCGTCTTGGTGGCGGAGAAGCTCAGACCAGCCGGGCTTGATCTCCTCAAGGAGTTCGCCAACATGGATTGCTCCTATAACTTCTCCCCCTCGGATCAACTACTTCGCAAATCTCAAGGCCTCCTCCACTGCCGCCTCTCGCCTGCACAAACGAGCTCAGATCTGAAATAAAATTTCTTGATCCCCAGTTTCGATTACTTCGAATCCGGCTTCACAACCCCATTCCCCAATACCTTATCCATCAGTCGCCCATCAAGTTCTTACTGCTCTACATCCTCTCTATCCACACCTCTCAATCGACGCGAACTTTTGTTTATAGAAAATTCTATAAATCAAAGATAACACACGAATAACCCCACCAAATGCCAAACCCACTAGAACCCTCAAACCAACTCCATTTTTGTCCTTCCTAGTGACAGGAACAGAGGTAGTAGGAGCAAGGAATCGGTCCAGGTGGAAGCAAAATCCCAAGAGTGGGCAACTAACCGACCGGTGGAACCGGAGAACCTAAAAGTGGCCTCTTATATAGGGTTGGTTCGGGTCGGGTTTGAATGATGTGGCTGGTCGACTTTTTTTTTTAATTCAAAATTAGTTGATCAGATACTTCTGTTAGTCACGTGAGCAAAAAACTGACGGTGTTAACGGAGACTAACGGAAGGTAACAGAGAGTGACCAAACTTGAATTGTTTGATTAATTCCAATGACCACGAATGTAATTAAATATTTTTGGTGACCAAACATGAACGTTTTTAGTAATCTCAGTGACCAATGTTGCAATTTACCCCAAGTTCTTTGTTATCGAGTTAACAAGCAGATTTTCTGGTTGGGCATTTTTAACTCCTCCTCCCGTCGTGTCTGCGACTCCGCTGCTTGCATTTTGGCAGACTGTTTTACTCGCTCAGTCACTTGTTTCTTAGGCCGACTCCAATGGGCATCCCATTTATGGAGGAATTTGCAAAAATGAAGGAGGAGATGGTCCAATGGGGAGGTTGGGGCCTCCAAAAATGGAAACCCCAAATTTGGGGGTGGAGATGGGGGATCCCCAAACATAGAGACTCTCCAAAGCCCGCCACATGTCTTTTCTTTTTCTTTTTAAAATTTTAGGGTTTAATTGGGGGTTTAATTACGTGATTAGTTAGGAATTTAATTAGATAAAAAAATTTCAACTGTTGTGTGTAAACCCAAATTAGGAACATAATTTTGTCAAAAAAATCCGGACTCGGAATTTAACAAAATTCTATCAAAAAATTTGTATTTAAAAATGATGATGAACTATACAAAAATTAACATGAATAAATTATATTAAGGCTACGATAAGTACATTTTTAAGTAAATGGAAAAACTAGAAAAACGGAAATCCCCAAATATGGAGATTGAAGCATTGGAGCAAAAGAAGGGGAAATGGGGATCAATCCCCAAATTTGGGGTTTTGCATTGGATTTGGCCTTAGGGATTTTTCCAGAAATAGCATTGTTTAAAAAAAATTTCAAAAATAGCACCAAAGTCCGAAAAATTCCAAAAATAGCACCCTTTCCCAAAAACCGCTCCCTACCAGTGCGGTTTAGGCGAAAACCGCCACCCAGGGGCGCGTTTTTTGATGAAAACCGCACCCCCACCATGCGATCTGTTTTTTTTTTTAAATCCTAACCTAGGTGGAAACTTCAAACGGACGTATCTTTGTGTTCGGGTATCCGATCGTCGCGAATTTTTTTTATTCCGCATAAATTTTTGAGATCTTGCAAGCCGAAGACCGCCGAATGTGGTTTGGTCCCTCCTTCGTCCCAAAAAACGTCGTTTGCTACCCCGAACGAGCTTATTTCCGATTTCGTCAAACTTTGGACAACCATAACTTTGTGCTCCAAAATCCAAACGACATGAATTTTTTTTTATTTCGCATAACTTTTTAAGGACTACAATTTTTACTAGAATGAATTTTCAAAACAGGAATTATTTTGGATATACAGAATTTTGGGAATAGCTTACCTTCCCTTCTCAGCAATCCACGTACATTTTGAAATTATGTCTATGATAAAAGTAGTATTCCTTAAAAATTTATGCGAAATAAAAAAAAATTCATGTCGTTTGGATTTTGGATCACAAAGTTATGGTTGTCCAAAGTTTGACGAAATCGGAAATAAGCTCATGCGGGGTAGCAAACGACATTTTTTGGGACGAAGGCGAGATCAAACCACCTTCGGCAGTCTTCGGCTTGCAAGATCTCAAAAAGTTATGCAGAATAAAAAAAAATCGCGACGATCTGATACCCGAACACAAAGATATGTTCGTTTGAAGTTTCCACCTAGGTTATGATTTTCAAAAAAAAAAAAAACAGATCGCATGGTGGGGGTGCGATCACAACCAACCCGCATGGTGGGGGTGCGGTTTTCATCGAAAAACGCGCTCCTGGGTGGCGATTTTTGCCTAAATCGCACTGGTAAGGAGCGGTTTTTGAGAAAGGGTGCTATTTGTGGAAGTTTTCGGACTTAGGTGTTATTTTTGGAATTTTTTTTTGAACAGTGCTATTTCTGGAAAAATCCCGCCTTACTGGTTACGGGAGGGGAGGGCTTATTGCTCGATCACCAATTCACCATAATCAATTCTAAACCTCCACAAGCCTATATCATTCTCGTGAAGGGAGGTGTTGCATTTTCATACTCATTTTTGCTGTTTTAGCATGGTTTGTGAAACAGTGCCAAACTACTGGAAAAAGTACTAAACTTGTAGTTCAACTATTTTATCGGGACCTCCTACGATAACTTGGGTATAATTTCAAGTTAGATAACTTGTATAGATCTAAACCGTTAAAATCTATTAAACTTAATTTAAACCAATTAAAGAAATAAAAAAGAAAAAAATAAGTAAGAAAATAAATTGCAAGAGGGGTTGCCGGTCACCACTACACAACTTACCATTCATATTTTTTTTTCTTTCCATTTCAAATTTAGTTGTTTTCCATATTTTATTCTTTCCTTTTTTTATTTCTATTTAATTAGAAGCGTTACGTAAGGCTTCCGTAATACCTTAGAACTTTACGTAACACGACATTAATGCTCATTACGTAAAGAGACCTTCCATTACGTAAGGCTTCCGTAAAGATATTTTACAACTGTTACGTAAAATACACATTCATTACGTAAAGGTTAAGTAACGATAGTTATTTCTTACGGAACAGTTAAATTGGAAGCGTTACGTAAGACTTCCGTAATGACTTAGCACTTTACGTAACGCGAGGTTATTACTCATTACGTAAAAAGACCTTCCATTACGTAAAAGTTACGGAACGACAATTATTTCTTACATTACAGTTAAATCAGTAGTGTTAAGTAAGACTTCCGTAATAACTTAGCATTTTACGTTACTCGAGGTTAATACTCATTACGTAAAGACACATTTTATTACGTAAGTCTTCCGTAATAATCTTTTACAACTGTTACGTAAGATTACCATATGTTACGTAACCATTATGTAATGCCTATTGTATTTTACGTAATGAGACATGTGAAACCTGCTATAACTGGTAAAAAAAATTAAGTTACCTTACTTCAAGTTACCGTAGGGAATCCCCTATCATGAAAATCATTTATCATTTTTGGTACTCGATATTTATGGCTCAACCGAACAGTAGGGTACTTTTATTTAGAACATTGATTTTCAGCGGTTTCCACTTATTTTGATAGTTTTGGTTATCAATTAAGGTTTGAACTATGTAAACCAATTCTTTGGTGCTCAAAAGCATATAGATTTTGCGTTCAAAATTAAATGGACCTCACTTAACCTGAACATCGAGAAGCATAAGCCTAAGTACATTCATTCAAACAGCCATTCCTTAACTCTTGTACCAATGCTTAAACCAAAGATCGGTCTTCAAATCATCTCATTTTGAAAACGCGAGATTGCTTCGATAAGAATTAGGGACGCGGTCGCATTTAGACTTTAGACTAGGGGTGGGAAACGGTACGGTCCGATTAAAATTGGACCGGATTAATCTAGTTTTTTCCAAGCGTATTGGCCAATACAACAACTGGAGATGGTTTGGATTGCATCCAGTTTTGACTAAAACCGGGCTGGATTGAAGCCGGTCCAATCCGGTTTGAACCCAAAAACCGGAATTAAACAAAGGCAAAATACAGTTGTATATCCACAACTATCACGGTTGTGACAAATATATCCACAACTATCGAAATATACGAAATATTCATTTCCGTCCACTCCGTTAACTTCGTAAGTTAACTTGATGACTGGACAGATGGTGGATGCTTAGTTGGCGTGTTTCTGACCCCAGTAAATGATGTGGATTGAAAGAGAAAAATAAAAAAATGACACGTAGATTACACATCATATATACTTAAAAATATTTAATAATAAAATATTAAAAAATTACAAAAAACTTTGCAGGGGAGACTCTACGCCTTCCCCCAACCCCCTCTGCCCACTTCCACCTCCGCCCTTCACCTTTCTGGCTAGACACTTCGCCTTCCCCCAACCTCCTCCGCCCACTTCCACCTCCGCCCTTCACCTTGCTCGCGAAATAGTACTTCGCCGTTCCCCAACCCCTCCGACTAAAGCTCCAGACCACAGAATCGGCGAAGCATCGGGGGAGAAGTTTGGACAGTTCTCTTGACCCTGTGCCGGGTAACGAAATATCTAGTCGGGGCTCTACCTCACTCCCGCCGATTCTTATCTCTTTCCCAAATTCCAAATCCTCACGAATCAACCTTTTCTCCTGTGAAAGCCGATCAAGCACGATACCGCTTCTCCTTCACTTGTCTCTTTCTTTTCTTCCATTTACCGGCGATGAAGATGACAGAACAGAGTCAGAGAAGGCTCTGTCGGCCGAAGGAGTCACGCGACGAGGATGGAGAGCGGAGGTTGACCGACAGTAGTCACACGAAGAGGATGGAAGGAGGCGATTGACCGGCGGGATGTGGTCATCGGTGGCCGCTCTATTCTTCTTCTTCGATCCAAGAGGAGAGCAGAGGGAGAGTTGGGGGTGTTTCATGTTTTCATGTCTTTGTCTGGGTTGATCGAGAGGGAGGGTTTGGTCTGAGATCGAAGAGAGGGCAGCGTCGCTAGAGCAAAGTGACAGTTGCGAGTTTTAGAGGGAGGCGAGTTTAGGTGATAGGAGTAGGACTCTGGGAATTAGGGTAAGGAGCGGTCTGGGCTAGGGTGTGTGCGGGTTGGGCCTGAGGTGGGGGTTAGCGAGCTGGGCCCAGTGATGGGTTGTACTAGGCTATCCAGTTACCCGGTTTTAACCGGATGGGACCGAGGTCTTTTGTATAGATACTACAACCGAAAACTAGATTGGGTTGGTTGGAATTCGGTTTCCGGTTACAACCAACACATTTTAAATTCGCCAGTTTACGGTTTGACCGAAAAACCAGGATCGAATTCCCAGCCCTACTTTAGACTAATAACATTTTGATAAATATTTATGAGAGTGAGAGCGGTAATACTTAGTAGCATTGTCAGGGTGGGTACATGTATGCAACAAGGCTAGGCACACCAACCCGTTCCAATCTCTTGCATCAATTGCAATTATCAACCCATTTAGGGATTTGGAGATTAGTAGATTTTTGGAGGTGATTTGTAATCAAAATTGACGAGTTCGAGCCCAAGTCTTACATCGAAGCCCAGTAAAAGGGTTACCCATCCCAATCTCTTGCATCAATTGCAATTATCAACCCATTTAGTGATTTGGAGATTAGTAGATTTTTGGAGGTGATTTGCAATCACAATTGACGTGTTCGAGCCCAAGTCTTACATCGAAGCCGAGTAAAAGAGTTATGGATAGAGTGCATAACTTGCATAACAAGATTTGGATCCTTCATTTTAAGAAGGAACAGATTTAAAGGCTAAGAATTAAGTTTTTTAATATTCTACAGTTATCTTGATTGACACTTATATTCTTCGTTCTAATTTGAATTTTAAAATTATTTGCACAGAAGGAACGAATTTGTTGTGCTCTACAAAATGAGATCCATTTTCAATACCATATTGTGTAGACTAGTAATAAATGCCTCGATTATTTTTGTTCCAAAAATATATTGAAGTGAATATCATTTTGAAGAACACAATTAATATGATTTATATGTGGAAAAATTTAAATTCTGGCTTAAAACGAGAGAGAAATCGTCCGTTAAAAATTAAAGAAGAAAAGGTTAGAGGCCTTCCATAAGTGGCAGGGGGCGCTGATGTGGCGGTAGATGACATGTTATGCTTTGTTACTGATAGGGGTGACAAACGGTTATCAGGTTATTGGTTTAACCAGTAACCGTAGCGGTAACTGGCAATTACTGGATAACTAGCGGTGTCGGCTGTCGGCAGCGTTTGTGGGGTTTTGTTATACTGGCTCCAATACCGGTAAATACCGACTGGTATCCGGTTAAACCGATACCATTTGGGAGGGTAAAACGTTGGCGTTTCTGCAATTCCCCAACCCTAATCCGCCACTCAAGTGTCGAGAGTCTTGTCCAGTCCAACCGTCTTCCTCGCCAATTCGCCCTTCCAAAATCCAAAATCAAAGTTCCAGCCCCCATCGATAGAACAGACATAGTCGACGACTGAGACTTCAACTCCGATTCGCACTGCCCATTCCCTTGCTGACTTCGATTCCGCTGCGTGCCTCCCATCTCTCTAGCTCTCCGCCTCTCCGACTCGACTCCTCCTCTCATGTTCGTCGCTCTGCGACTCCGTCTCAGCCCCCTGTCCTTCCCTCATTTTCCCAGTCCCCGGAGACGCAGAGCACTCTCTTCCCTCAGTCATCTCCTGCGAGCTCCACCAGGACTGGTCGAGGTCCATAGTTAAGGAACTAAGGATCGATTCCCTAGCCCAGTTGCCATGTTCCTCTCCTCCTCCTCCTTAGAAGTCAGAACTTTCCAATTGCTTCTTTGACTGATCTTTTTTTATTTGTTGATGAGATAAGAGGCATTGCAACTATTCAAGTCCTTGAGCTCAAGCAGCAGCAAAGGCCAAAGTCCAAAGCAGGCAGCTGAGCAGCTGCAAAGCAGGCTAATTAGCGATTGTGCTTTCCAATCGAAAAAAGTATGTATATGATATGAGAAATATTGATTAAATTGATGAGAATTGACAATTACAGTATGTGTGTATGAGTTTCAATCGATGAGAATTGACAGTGACATTGAGTCATTGACATTTGACAAACATGAGAAATTGAGAATTGATCTAGGTGGTGGATTCCTATAATTGTGTGCTAGTGGATGGCTACCCATACGACAAATGCAAAAGATGTGGGACGCATATCAAAGCTCATTCAAGTCTCAATGGGACTACGGGTTTGAAAACCATCACCTGGCATGCGAGAGGAGGTCGAGGGAATCTAGTGGTCAATCATTATTGAACTACCAGCCTGGAGGTGGAGATGATGAGGTAGGCTCTCTTACTCCATGGAAATATTATCAGAACAAAGCTAGACATGCATTAGTTATAATGATCATCTTGGATGAGCTACCATTCAAATTTGTTAAGAGTGAAGCATTTAGGATATTTATGGCCACAACTCAGCCTTTGTTTGTGATACTTAGAAGACAAAAAATAAGACCAGATTGTTATGTCATTTTTCTGGAGAAGAAGATGTTGATTGAGGTTTTCAAATTAAAGTGCAAAAGGATTTTGATCACTACAAATACATTGACCTATGATAACAATCAGAATTATATGTGTGTGACTGTACATTTTATTGGAAATGATTGGAAGTTGCAGAAGAGGATAATTTGCTTTGTTCCCATTACTGGTTACTCATGAAAAGATATTGCAGATACTTTGACAGCATGTCTACAAGAATGGAAAGTGAAGAACCTGTTTTGCATGACAATGGATAATGCCACTTCCAATGATGTTTTTGTTGAGTGTATGAGAACAAAACTGAAAGGGTCGTGATCAGATTTGCTAGATGGGAAGTATCTGTCGTATAGAAGTGTGGCACATATAATCAATCTGGTTGTTTCTGATGGGTTGAAGGATATTGGAGTTGCTGTGGAGAGGGTAGAGATTGTATGATATGGGTGAATTCATCACCAGCTCGGAGTGCAAAGTTCAAGTCCAACATCAACTATCTAGAGATGGGTGGGAAAAGACTTGTGTATTTGGAAGTTCCGACTAGGTGGAATTCCACATATTTGATGTTTGCTTCTGCAGAGAGGTTCGAGCCAGTGTTTAAGTTCATGCATGCTAGTCCTACTGATGCTTCCTTTCGAGACTATGTGGACTCCAAGCAGGGTCTTCTAACTTAAGAAGATTGGAGCAGCATTAGGCGGCTCATGAAGTACCTAAAGTTCTTTTATGAAATTACCCTTCATGTATCAGGTATGTATATGAACTATCAAATTTTAAAATTCATATATTAAAGTTAAAGTGAATGATTATGAGTTATATTATTTATATTAATGATTTGGTATTTTTACTTTGTATTAGGAACATCATATGTCACTGCACATACTTTGTACAGAGTCATTGTCGATATTCATGAAGTGATAACAACTTTGAAGAATGATGTAGATGAACAGATACAAAGAATTGCAGAAAGAATAGAGGCAAAGGTGAGAAAGTATTGGTTTGAGAATGATGCTGATGACGAGGAGGATAACCATAGGATAAATAGGCTAGTTTACATTGCATGTGTGCTAGATCTCATGCGTAAACTAGACTATTTGACTATGATGTTGGAAGAGATGTATGGGAGGTTAAAAGGGGAAGCTTTGGCAGATGAAGTAAAGAAAGAAATGACTGCCATGTTCAAGGTCTACAAGTTGAGGTATGCACCTCCACCCTATGAGCCTGATCTTACTACTAAGACTACTCCTCCTATTGTGACTAGTGTCGGATATTCTGTTATGGGAGGAGCATTTGAAGCTCGATTCCAGCAGAAGAGAAAGGACAAACTTGAGAGGGGGGTCGAGGTTCTGGTGATTTGGAGTCCTATTTGAGAGATGTTGGTGATGCTATTAACGAGGAACTTGATGATCGGAAGTTTGACATTCTTAAGTGGTGGTCCTGGAACAGTGTTAGATATCTCATTCTTTCAGAGATGGTTAGGGATATATTAGCAGTTCCAGTCTCCTTTGTTGGCTAAGATTCCACTTTCAGTTGTGAAGGTCGAGTTCTTAGTCCTTTTAGATCTTCTTTGAGCCCAAACATTGTAGAGGCCTTGATTTGTGCTGAAGATTGGATAAGGTATGAAAGTGGAAAGACTGCAAATGAACTAGATGATAAAGAAGAAGATCAAGAGACAATCGATTATGCAAGTGGTAAGAATTCAATTCATTATTCTAATTTGTCTATAATCTTTACTATTAAACCATTCCATTATTAACATTTGTGTTTTTTCTTTGTAGTAGTCACTAGTACTTTCCAAACTCGAGTGGAAACTGCAAGTGATATGGCAAGTGGAGCACATAGCTTACCTGTTGAGATTGAGGAGAAGGAGGGTGATGATGGTGATGATGAAGATTCCGACGACGAAGACATTAACCTACATGGCGATGACAATCCTGATGATACTCTTCTCAGGACTTTGAAGAAGCAAGGTTGTGCTAATGTTGGTGGTACAAGTTCTATCGGAGATGGAGGAGCATGAGCTAGTGGTTGTACACTTGATTAGTTTATGTTTGTGTTAAATTTGGGTACTTCTACGTTCTATTTTAATTTTTAAGTTTGAACTTGTGCGAATTTAGACATTGTCATTGTGCACTTTAGTCTATTGACAATTATGTTGACTGTTGTCCCTTTGAATTTGATGATATTTGATGAATTTGAATATTTGATGATGTTTGATGTTGTTTTTTGTCCATTTGAACTTGTGTTAAATTAATTAATGTTTGATAATTGCATACATGAATGGAAGTAAAAAAATTAAAAATATTGTAAATAAGAGTTAAGAATTAAATTATTAATTACATGAAAAATGCAAAGAAAAAAAAATCAGAAAAATTAAAATTGGACAATTCCTGCCCACTGCCCAGAAATTGGACTGGTTATCTTCCGGTTAACCGAACCGGACATATGCTTCTCCCTCCCATTTGGGATAAATTGGTATACCAACCGGTTGCGGTATTCCAATTCCATGTAGCCTTAAATGGTATACCAATAACCGATCGATCGGTAACTGGTTAAACTGGTAACCAACCAATTACCACCACTAATTACTGACCAGATCCGGACCCAACGAAAGCATGTCCTTGAAAGCGATATCTCATAATTACTATTATAAAACCCTACTTGAGAGAAATAGTATTAGTGCAGTTTTAATCAATCAACAAATATATTATAGACAAATTATAGGAAGGGTAAATTTGTTTTCGCAATTATTTATTTAATTTTCATTCATAGAAAAAATGCATCAAGTCTCGTGATTTGAATCATGGTCTCTTTAAACAAAAACTAGAATTATTATCAATTACAATTACACTAAACCAATTTGTATCTTTCTAAATTAAACCATAAAGAACATTGAAATTTGAAAATCAGAGTACTTTTCCACTAAGGTTTACAACGATGTTGTTCGACTCCAGCCACTAATCAATCTATGTATTTATTAGGAATGGATAAGGTGCTAACACCTTTTAGTGTTAGTATCATGCTAACATAATCCTTAAGAGTATTATAGTACTATCGTTTGCTTCATGGATTTAAACATGATGATTTTGTAATAAAAAAATCCAAGGATTTATCAAGGATTTGAGGCATTATAGATTTGTAACAATCCTTTATTTGCTGAGATATTTTATCATGGATTTAAAGGTTTGGAATTTAGAACTTAGGGGTTGTTTGCTTCAAGGATTTGTATCATGGATTTGGTACCAAAAAACCAACCATCATGGATTTACACACAATCCATTGTTTGCTTTGTCAAAAAATGATTAGATAAATCTATGGACCCCACGGATTTGGGGTTTTTTTTAGCTCCAAATCCATGGGCCCCACGATTTTATAAATCCCACCTCATACCCTGGGATTTGGAGACAAGTTGAAAAACCATGCCCACCTCATCAAATCCATGATAAAAATAGCTCAACAAACAAAGGATTTCCTCAAATCCATAATGCCCGAAATCCCTAATAAATCCCAAGGTTTTTAATTAGCAAATCCATGACAAAACCCTCGTTATAAAATCCTTGAAGCAAACGACCCCTTAAAGTCCAAAATTACCTTATTGTCATTTTCTATTTGTTTGTCATATTTATGATATGTACACAAAATAAGGACAATATGTACGAATAAACATAATGTTCCATAAAAATGTCAAAGGAAACTAGAATGCAAGAAAGTGATTAATTATAATGTACAATAGGAAAATGTGAGGGCAACTTTGGAATATTAAAAGTTCATGAGGGTATATAGGTAAAACCCATCATGGATTTATGACATGTTCCAAATTCCACATCAATATGTGAGATTTACAAGTCCGTGAGCTCCACGGAGTTGAACCCTTAAAATCCATGGGCCCCAAGGATTTGGTACCTAATTAAAGAGCAAGCAAACAATAGATTTTTATTAAATCCATGATGGATTGGATTTGGGTACCAAATTTATCATTCAAATCCACGAAACAAACGGCTCCTAATAGCAGGCCCCCGTACCATGGATTTGGGTTTCAGTTGGTACCTGAACTTATTAGATTTTAAGATTTAGTAGATTCAAATTTTTTACTTTGCATATAAGTCCTAAAAATATTGATGGAAAAATTCATTTAAGCGAAATGTCGCCCGGTATTGTTCCAACCGGCGGTAGCCTGTTTTGCAAAGAAACGTCGCTGCCGTTTATGAAAAAAGGAAAAATAAAACAAAATCACATCCGAACTCAAATCCCTAATCACGGATCGAAGAACTTCTTTTCTCAGCTTCACAATGTCGCTCCTCTTCTCTTCTCCAACTCACCCGTGCCTCTGCGAGTGACGACCAGCAACGGCGGCGAGATGGACGAGCTTGGCTGCTCGAGAATGCCGCCGAGTCTCCTTCCCTGCCTCGACATCCTTCGCTTGCTCCAGCCCAGCCCTGCCTCCGACGACTGGCTAGAAGGACGAGATAAAAAACACTGTCGTGTTCTCCTAGTTCCCTCTCTTTCTCCCTAGTCCCGGCTGAGGTCGCCGCTCTTCTCTCAACCGCCGCTGTTTAAGAAAATGAAGAGAAAGAAAGAAATAGGATTGGTGAGAAACTGACAATAAGAGAGAAAAGAAAGTGTGCAGGAGAGTGGAGAGATAGGGAAAATTATTGAAGAAATAATAATTAAAAAAAAAAAAAAAGAGAGAGGGGAGAGCGTGGGAGTGGGAGGGGATGAGGGACAGTGGGATGGGAACATGACATGGCATGTGTCCTTTTTTTCTTTCTTTTTTTGTATTTTATTTTGATATATTTCAGTATATTTCGATTTTATTCTGAAACGATACCTTAATTTATTGGTACGGATTTTTAAGCAAAATATATTTTATTATTACGAAAACTGTATTTACCGACACAAAAGGGTTGAACCACGGTTGTATCACAAAATACCCTATTGCAAATAATTTCGGTATGATATCCGGTACGGTTTCCTGGACCATGGTTTTATAAGGTTTTTAATCTTCTTTAAGAAACTTGTGATTTGTCTTATGAGATTTTTTATATTTTTTTAAGAAACTTGTGGTTTGTTTTATTGGGTTTCTGGTTTGCTTTAATAAATCCGTGGTATGCTTTACGAGGTTTCTGGTCTGCTCCTAAGAACCAGGGCCGACCCATAATATTTGTAGGCCTTATTCAAAAATTTAAAATGTGGGCCTAAATTTTTTTTCTTTGGAAATTTATTAAAACTAAAGGATACATAAGTTCAAAAAATGATTAGTACCTCTTTTCCATGGCCCTTGGCAGCCTTGAGCTGGATTTTGTCACAATTAATTAGAACAAATATTGTCCATTAAGATACCTGTGAATCCATTCAATTTCTTTTAACTTGGGCCCATTAAAGACCAACTAATTCATTCATTTTCTTTAACTTGGGCCCATTAAAAAATCAACTAACCCATTCAAATTTTTTTAACTTTGGCACATACATCCTTCTAGTGCGCATATGAACGAATTAATAAGTGTTTCTTTTAACTTTGGCTCATACATCCTTCCCTTGCCATGTAAACGAATTAATAACAAGACTTGTGTTATGGGTCTAACCCACACAGGATCTGAGCCAAACATGGAAGAAATTTTTGGTATGCTTTATAAATTTATGGTATGGTTTATGAAATTTTGTGGTATGCTTTATAAACTTATGATATGTTTTATAAAATTAAATTAAGTTAAATAATAAACAAAGTAAATAATATATAAATAATCAAAACAAAATTAATTATTTTTTCATCATCTTCCACCGCCGCACTCCCAAACCCTCCCCTGCACCTTCTTCAATCGATCTGCCTTAGGGTAATTAATTTCCTCAAACCATCGGCCCTCCTAACTCTCCTCCACCACCGCAACAACCTCCAGATCTCATCGGCCCTCCTAACTCTCCTCCACCACCGCAACAACCTCCAGATCTGACAAGATAACCTATGGATGACGAAGCTCCTCCGCTCCGCTGAAACCGCTGACTGGAGATCGAGGAAAAAAGACGAGCAGGCCTCTTCCGCCTTCTTCCGAGTGCAATCGTGCAGGCGAAACCGAGGGGAATCAAACTAGCCAATTGGTAACTGCAACAACGACCAACGAGAATCGACCCGACATATCCAGAAACAACCCCTCAAGCTCAGTTATTGGAGATCTGGATCTTCTGGTCCTATAAAGAGGTTGGACGGTGGCGAGGTTTCGGGACGCATGAGGGCGAAGCTTGTTTTGGAATGGAGAAGGTCGAGGGAGGCTACCGATACTGGTGGAAAGATGAGGGGATTGACTGCGGCGAGAGTCACCGCCACCTCCTGTCCACCCTTTGTTGCTGGAAGTCGAGAGGCAGACTGTTGGCGATTGGAACCCTTCGTCTGTCGCCCAAATCCAACTCGGATTCCCAGCTGCCACCAGCGTCTTTCATCTTATTAACTGCTTTGATTCAGCCGCCACCTACTGTTGCTCCGATTCCTGGAAAAAAGTTTCGATAGGTGGTGTTGTGGTTGCTGCTTTTTATTAGAATCATCAATTAGGAGGCGAGATAGAGTTGGAATAGAAGAGAAGGTGAAAAGCAACTTTCTGCCGCTAGCATCTCTTCCCGGATCGATGGCGGCTGAGAGAGTCCAAGTCCTAACTTGAGAGGCTTCAAGTCGATAAAGCTTAATCTTTCTAGAGGTGGTAGCTGGAAGGGATTCCAATTCCGTCTAGTTTGAATCTCCAATTTTTTTTTTTAGTTTAATATAATTTTGAATAAAAAAAATAATCTAATGTGTAAAAGGATAATAGATGTGTAATGATGTGGCATTTACATGGCTGCCACATTTTTGCTACATCATCAAAAGTTAATATTGTTTTGACCATCGTCTGGTCAACCGTTATCTGTAACGGTCAATAAAAATGTTAGTTAAATGACACAAAACTATCATACGATGGGATAGAAATGAAATATTGAAAAGAATAGGATACAAGTGGCATTTTGATGATAGTTCGAGTGTTGTAGTGGTATTAGTCCTAACCTTTTTGGTATGCTCTATGATATATGTGATGTGGTTTGTTGCAGTTTTTGTTTATATTTTGTGGTCTGCTTCATTATACTTGTGGTGAGGCGCCGGATGCAGAATTAATGCACAACGCAATACAAGTGTGCCCCCTCTACAAATCCGCATTAATTTTTTTGTCAACCCATTGGAACAAGAAAGGGGAAATGATAGGGTACAAAATCCGCTACTCTAAAATCACTATAAAATCCAATCTATATCAGTCCGATCTAATCACATCTAACTACCCAAAGTAATTGTCAACAAAAGAAATCAGGAGAGGTGAACGGGTAAGTATGCACCCTTTGTCTTTCTAACTTTTTTTAATGACACGGATCTAGAGGAGTGAGAAGACATTTTTCTAGTCCCATATCTTTCTTAATCGGAACATCTATCCTTTATTTTAACTAGAAATTAAAACAAGTCGCAGAATATATTTCTATAGCCACAACTTTCACGTTTGTGACACTTATAGCCAAAACTTTTGAAATACACAAAATGTGCATTTCCGTCCAATGCTTTAACAGTATCACTTAACAATTTGACTAGCTTGACAAAAATGTTGACCTGGCAAAATTTCACCCCCACTATTAGACGTAGATTAAAAGAGAAAGAAAAATGAAAAGTAAAAAAAATTAATTTAAGTGTCCTTCCAAGAACTGGCCACCACCTCCGGCTCGGCTCCAAGCTCCTCATCGTTGCCTCTTCCCTTGCGATCGCTGTCAAAATCTTGAGAACCCACGAGCACCTCCTCTCCACTAGACACGTCCCCACGGTTAAATCCCACTTCTCAATCGTCGTTCCCAATCCAAAGGCCAGTGACAGCTACAACTCCTCCGTAGAGCCTTCCTCTCTCCATAAGCTCGTCAATATGCCTTAGTAACTCTTTTGTCTCCTCTGAATTCGTCCTATAAGCTGCCTAATTTGAAATTCTAGCTCCAGGACAAAATCTATTTGAGGCTCTATCCCTAAGATTGGAGGTAATCCTTGTGAAGCTTCCTCGGGAAATACATCTTCAAACTCCTCTAATACCACTCGTGCCCTAGTGGTATGTCTCAAACCAAATCTTGATTAAGTAGCATGACTTTGTAGATGATCATGATCAAAGGTTCACAATCATTAATCGCTTGTTTCACCTCTCCGTTCAAGCTAACATTAATGCCTTGGATGCCACAACACTAGAACCACCTTTCTCAATCTTGGTTGTGGCTATATACTCCTTCTCCTTCTCCCTATGTTGTTGCATTTGGAGTTGAACTTCATAGACTTCCTAGGGAGATTGAGGATTTAATACGAACTTCTTACCTCTATGCGCAACTAGTACTTATTGGTGACTCCATCATGTTGTGCATTTCAGTCAAACTGCCATGGCCTTCCAAGTAGAACTTGTGCCGCTTGAATTGGCACTATGTCACATAGGACCTTGTCCTTATAACCTCCAATTTTGAATATTGCCCATGCTTGATTTGTGATCTTGTTAGATCCATGCTTATTAAGCCATTGAAGAGTGTAGGGCTTGGATGCTTCAATTTACTTAGCCCTAGTTTCTTCACTGTAGTTGCACTAATCACATTTGTGAAACTTCCTCTATCAATAACCATAGAGAGTAAACTTTCATCTACTAAGCACATTGTATGGAACAAGTGCTCCCTTTGTTCGAGCTGCTCTTTGGGTTGCACACTCAAAATTCTTCTAGCAACAATATACCTTCCTGAAGGTGCTTCGATCGCCATTGATTCTTAAACTTCACAATCTGATGTCTCCTTCTCTACGTGTTCTTCCTATTCAGATTTAGACACATACTCTCCATTCTCCAAAAGAATTAGTGCCCTCATGTTTGGACATTAACTAGCAATGTGTCCTCTTCCACGACACTTAAAGCATTGAATGCCACCACTAGAACTTGCTTGCCTTTCCTTTGGAGCTTTAACCTTGGCCGCAGGCTTTGGTATTTTTGACTTGGGCATGCCTGGCCTAGGGTTTGGAGTAGTAGGCACTCTTGGTCTTGGTGCATTCGAGGGAGGTAGATACCTTCTCCTAAGTTTGTTCTTCTGTTGTCGTTCAACCTTGGAAGCCATTGACACTAAAACTTCTCATTCAACGAATGGTTGTATCTCCATCACATTCATGATCTCTCGAACGAGACCTTGCAAGAAACGTGCTATGGTGGCCTCTCGATCTTCTTTCACGCCGACCCTTATCATCAACATCTCCATCTCTTTGTAGTAGTCTTCTACGCTCTTGGTGCCTTGTTACAGAGGTTTTAGTGTTTGATGAATCTCTCGTTAATGAGATCTAGGCACGAATCTGTCTCTCATGATGCCTCTATGTCCTCCCATGTTTCAATATGTTGTTGCCTATTCCTCGTTCTCTTCGTACATAGCTTATCCCACCATACCATTGCATAGTCCGTGAATTCTATGGCAGTTAGCGTTACCTTCCTCTTTTTTGAGTAGTTATGTCAATAAAAAAATTAGCTCCATCTTCCTCTCCCAATCAAGGTATGCATCCGGATTAGTTGTCCATTTGAACAATAAAATGTTGACCTTGTTTCCCTTAAACTCGTCGTCTTTTTCTCGTGGGTAAGAACCTTCCTCTTTGAATGCTTCAATCTCCTCCTCATCATGGAATCGAGGCTGATTCATTCTCGTAGGTTGCGACACACCCAAAGGATGATGTCTCCTTATGTAAGACTGACTGCACTATAGTAAGACTGACTGCACATCAGTCTACTATCATACCAGTGATAGATGTGATCAAATTATTTTCTCAAATATAAGACTTCATATCAATATCATATGACTATCATATCATGATATTATCACTATGGAATAGTGATAATATCATGATACCATTTAATTATTTTGTCTAACGTAAGATCTCATCAACACCCTACCACTATTATGGATGACAACAAAACCCGAACCCACGGGTACCCACCCGACCCAACCCGGTCAACGCGGGTAAAATCCATGTTGACGGGTTTTGGGCCGGGTTTGGGTTTAAACCCGTTCACTATTCACCGGGTTGGGTTTGGGTTTAGGTAAACCCGCCCCATGGGTACCCGCCCACACCCATATAATTAATTTTCTCGATATATTTAATATTCTAAACAACTAATCTTATTTATGTTTGTGAAGACATGTCTAACTTTTTCTTTCTAATTGTGTAGAATGAAGTTGATGTTATCGAGTGGAGAGTGAAGAAACTTAATTGCAAGGAAGAAGCTTTCAATTAATCATGTTATTTATGGATAATTTGTGATTTGCTTCAATTTTCTTGAGTTTTCTAGATTGGTGTTGATTAATTTGTATAGTTAATTTGTGATTTGCTTGAATTTTCTAGAATGATGTTTATATATGGATAATTTGTATTAAGAGATTGAAATTTGACTTTAATTTTGATAGAAACTTGTTATTGTAAATATTTTAGGAAAAAACTCGTGAGTACCCATGGGGTTTTTTGACTTTAACGTTAGCACCTTACTAATAAATTTGCTATTAAAACTTAGAAGCACCGCAACCGATTTTCCAATCTAATTGAATTTGAATTAATTTTTTTAATTTATATGGATTTTGATTAATTAAAAATTTTAGTTAATGATTGCCTTTCGGAAGTACCAAAAGGCCAAAATAAACACAGATAAAGCCAAATACGTTTCCTGCTTTGTCATTTTTAAGCAGCGGCCAAAACGAACCTAAACCCACTGGAGAAAAATTCGTACAATCATTGACCTTGGGCCCATATTTTATTCTCTCAATCCTAGGCTGTGAGAGCGAAAGAAACACAGATAAAGCCAAATACGTTTCCTCTCTCCTCCTGCCACTCACTACTAGTAGAGAGAGAAAGAGCAACGAACACCAAAATGTCCTCCCATCTTCTTCCTCCTCGCCCCCGCTCCCGGCCTTATCTCCGTCCATCGTCAACTAGAATTTAATATATTCTTCTTCGCTTCCCCTGCGTATGGTTCTTAGGCTTCCCCCGGAGAGCCCTCCGCTTTCTTATCCAGCCACCGCCCGTGATCCCCCTTCCGCCGCCGCACTCACTCTGTATCCAGTTTCAGGTGAGTTGTCTCGTCAATCAATTGCAAGTTCAGATTTTAATTTCGCTTCAGTTTGATTTAGAGTGTCGGTCGTCGAACTCTGAATTGGGTCTTAGCTATTTCATCCAAATGGAATATTGATCGTTGAGATAGGTGCTTTGATTGAGTTCATAATTTGTAACTATGGTGGGTGAATTTATTTGTTTTATCATTGTATTAGAGGTTCCGGAGCAATCTCGATTTTGTTGTCAGGGTTTTTCTTCTCGTAACTTTACCTTGTCTCTGCGGATTATAAAAAAAAAAAAAACTAACTCTAGTGGAATTTTTCCCTTATGCGGGCAGTAATGGAAGAAGTTTTTTTCTCCGATGCAGTAACTTCTGATGTGGAAGTGGAACCCGCGGTAATGTCTTCATCGTTCCCAATTCTAAATACTTCAATCGGAGACATGTACAACAAATTGCCGGAAACATTCCAGGTTCCTTCCGAGAGGGAGAAGGAGATGATGAGAAACCCTATATCTCAACAGACACCTTCAATGGGTTATAGTAGTGGTACAGTCGAGCATTTGTTCTCGTCGTCTTCCAGATTCGCAAACGAGATGCATGTTTCTTCACCCCAGGGAAAGCATTCTTGGAATTCGCCATTTGGTTCTCAATCACCAAGTGGCAGAGCAGGTTTTCTGCCATTGCTTTCCTCTCATACACAAGTACGTTCCTCAACGTTGGGCAGTAGTGACTCTGAAAAGACTGATTGTAATATGACGATTGCTTTTTGGTCCATTGATCCGATTCCGAACTTTCTCGATTTCCAAGAGAATGTGTCAATTCAAAATGTTTGTCATGAGGAGACTGCATGCGCTGTTGCGTCTGAAGATCCTTCCAAGAGAACAACAGATTGGCCGTGGGAAAGTCAGTGGACAGCGGTTGATGATAATCTCAACACGGACTGGAATCAAATTCTTCCTGGAGTTACTACCACTGAGACCAAACAACAGGTTTTTACTCTCATCCTGTTCTAATTTTGCTTTCCAAACTTTTAAAAATATTAGCTTTCACTTAGATCATGCATGACATTGGGTAGGGATTTATGGAATTGATTCAAATGGTGGTCTTAGTGTCAAATGACTGTAGCACAACATTGGTCAATTGTGAGGCATGCTCGTTTCAGGATTTCATGAATTATAATTTATCTTGAGCAAAAAAAAAAAAAAAAAGTGAAGCTGATTGAATTGACTATGTGAAGAACTTTTAATATCTGTTTGAGGAGTGATTGATTAGGCACACATAAACCAGGTCTCTCTTGGTCTCTTGCTCTCTAAGCTATATTATTGTATCAGGCGCCACAGCAGTCATCCAGTAACTCGGTGCCAACTGTCTCAGTAGAGCAACCTCAATTTAATCAGCAGCTTCAACAATCGTTTACTAACTGGGTGCCAACTATCTCAGTAGAGCAATTTCAGTTTGATCAGCAGCTTCAACTATCATCTACGAACTGGGTGCCAACTATTTCAGTAGAGCAACCTCAGTTTAATGAGGAGGTTCAACAATCATCTAGTAAATGGGTGCCAACTATCTCAGTAGAGCAACCTCAATTTAATCAGCAGCTTCAACAATCATCTAGTAACACAGTGCCAACTATCTTAGTAGAGCAACCTCAAGTAAATCAGCAGCTTCAACAATCATGTAACATGGTGCCAACTATCTCTGTAGAGCAACCTCAAGTAAATCAGCAACAACCTGCCGTTACTGAAGAAGTAAGATCTGTTGCCACACCATTGACCTCTGCACCAACAGCAAGCAAAACCAGGATGAGATGGACACCTGAGCTTCATGAGGCTTTCGTGGAAGCAGTCAATCAGCTTGGTGGCAGCGAACGTACGTGTTCATTTGCGAGAGGCATTTTTTCATATTGTTTGAATGTTAGATCCTGAATTAGCTGGTTGACTTCAACTTTTTTTTACTTACAGGAGCTACTCCAAAGGGTGTCGTGAAGCGGATGAATGTTGAAGGGTTGAATATTTTTCATGTCAAAAGCCACTTGCAGGTTCATTCATGGCTTTCTCAACATTACCAGTTTTTTTCCTTTTGGGGCATGGCTATAAGCTGTTCATTTTTCTCACATGGACGTGAATTATTTTAAATTTTCAGAAGTACAGAACAGCCAGATACAAACCCGAGCCAACTACTGAAGGTAAGGTTTAACTGTCACATTTATCGTAATTTGCGCGCATCAGCTATTGTCCCCCACCTGGAGATTTGTATGTTTACTCTTTATTTGATCTTCGCTTTCTGCTGTGTTCGGATTGGAGCATTGATGAAATGTCCAGTTAACAAATGTTGTGATCCTATTTTTCCTTTCATACTCCTCAGAGAAAAGGTTGAGTTCCCTTGGCGTAACAAAATCAATGGACTGGAAAACGTAAGTTCATCTGAATCCCTCAACTGTCTTAAATAATCTTGTATTGCTTTTTTGTGCAAGTTAATTCACCTTTTTTGTGGTTAAAAAACAGGACCATTGGGATAACTGAAGCTTTAAGACAACAAATGGAAGTTCAGAAGCAATTACATGAACAACTCGAGGTAATCCTGCTCCACTGAACTTATAGCTTGTATATCATCAAATGTAGAACCATGTTGACTTCGGGGGACTGAAGGTAGTGTTGATATATCATCGTGACTCTTTTCTGCTTGTGCTGATCTTGTCTCTCAATACCACCAGACTCAGCGTGAATTGCAGTTGAGAATCGAAGAACAGGGAAAGAATCTGCTGATGATGTTGGAGAGACAAAAGATGGAAGAGGAGAAAGCCAAGCTTCCTTCATCTTCCTCCCCACTAGTCAATGATCAACTGTCAAATGCACTTCAGGTTTCTGCAGACGATAAATTACAAGCAGCAGATGGTGAAGAAAGCTTCCATAACCTGAGCACAAAGCGAAAATCACCTGGGGATGGAAATACAAAGGACACCCTTGACCAAAATGAAGACAAAGGGTCCAGTCCAGTGCAGGCTAAAAGGAAAAGGACGGACGAAACATCTGCAGCGGCGGCTTTAGAGTAGTCAAATTTCTTGGGTAAGATGATTAGGGGACAGTGATTCGGATTTGGGGAAGTTTTGGGAACTTCTGGTTTTTTGTTACAGAAGTTAATGTTTTAGCTGTTACTTAACGGTCCCATTTGCTGTTTTGCGTCGGAAATTGGTCTAGTTTATTCATATGTTGCATTGCTGGCTGTACATATTCTATTTATGGGAAAAATGCCGGCCAGAACTGACGTTCATAAACTTTTTGCATATACCGATATAGCCAACCGGCAACCAGTACGAAGAGTGATGGCAATGGGATGAGGCGGGTACTTTAGTACCATGCCACGCTCTTATGCTATTATGGGTTGGGACGGATAATACATGAGCGGATACTTGGGCGGGGTGAGTTGATCCATTCTCACAAATTATTTGATAAGAATACACGAAATTTTTTACTTTTTACGATAAGCGAAGTGGAAAACACTTTATGAATAAAGATTAGTGATTATAGAATGGATAATTAAATCTAACTAGTTGAAAGATCAAATCTAACTAGTTGAACAAAAATCAAAATATGAGAAATGTGAATAGATACCATAAGAAATTGAGATAGAATGAATAAAGAATGGGGCAGGACTGGGCGATGCATGGTGGGTCAGAAGTAAAAACTTATGTCTCTACCCCATGCTACTACGATCGGGTAATACACGATGGGCGGGTTCAAATAGACATCCCTCAAACGCTTGCACTCCATTGATGAGCTTTTTTTTTTTTTTTTACAAGAACTCCATTGATGAGCTTGCTGTTAGTTATCAACCTGGTCCAACATAGCTCCGTTGCATGTAATTGCAAATATGACAAATTTGAGTTTACCCTTGTGCATCAACACTTACATACCCCTTACACAAACCCCATTTTTGCTCATACAACACCGGTGATTTCTTCCTTTCCCAAGGGAGGGAAAAGCACGGCCAAAGTCAACCCAAGTAGGGTGTAGTTCCGGCATTGGAATTTAGATCATAGGCGCATTCTTGACACCTTAATTACATTTAATTTTCCTTCAACAATTGTTTTCCTTGTGAGGGTTGTAAGTCCTGCAGCATAAAACAAGAACGGGTAAGGTGATAGGTTTTCATCTTGCCTTAATCTACACATGTTTGAGCATTCACACGAACATAATTTTGCGCTCGGTTATCCAATCGTAGCGATTTTTTTTATTTTGCATAAATTTTTGAGAGCTTGCAAGCCGCAAACAACCATAGGTGGTTTGGTCCCGCTTTAGTCCCGAAAAACTTTGTTTGCTACCCCGAACGAGCAATTTTTCGATTTCGTCAAACTTTGAACGACCATAACTTCGTGCTCCGCAATCCGAACGTCATGAATTGTTTTTTGATTTTGCATAACTTTTTAAGTACTACACCTTTTATCATAGCCATAATTTCGGAATGTATGTAGATTTGTGAAAACTAAAGAGTTATTCCCAAAACCCTGTATATCCACAAATATTTCATGTTTTGAAAATTCTCTCCTACTAGAATTTGTAGTCCTTAAAAATTTATGAGAAATAAAAAAAAGTCATGACGTTCGGCTTGCGGAACACAAAGTTATGGTCTTACAAATTTTGACGAAATTGATAAAATGCTCATTCGGGGAAGCAAACGACGTTTTTCGGGACAAAGGCGGGACGACGGTGTGCCGCTTGCAGAATAACAAAAAAAAATCGCTATGATCGGATGACTGAGCGCAACGTTACGTTCGTTTGAAGTTTCAACGTAGGTCAGGCCTTCACTGCGTTTCTCGACCGCAGTGAGGCCTTCACCACGTCCCTCCGCAACGGTGATGCATCGCTGCATGTGTTTACCACGTTCGTCAACCGTAGTGATGCCCAAACATGTCTTGATTGATAAATTTTTTTATAACGTGTGTATTTTGAGATTTTTTTTTAAAACATGTGTATTTTGAGATTTTTTCCTTAATCCTTTTATGGGTTTTACTAGTTCTAAATTGTGACCATTGCTTAGGGTTTAATAGGACACCATGGTGACACATTGCATCATTAGTCGCACCCAATCTTCACCGAACCTGCGTGTAAGGCTAGTCACTTCAAAAAATCCTACTCCACCCAATCATAAGCTTTAGCAATGTCTGCCTTCGTTGCAATGTTGCCTTTATGCCTTTCTTTCTTGTTTTTCATCACATAGAAGCACTCGAAGTCTCCTTCATGTTGTCACGTATAAATATTCTTGGTACAAATGCACTTTGAACCTCTGTTATCACTATACTAGACACACTTTTTCCCGATGGTTTTTTAGTACCTTTAAAGGTATCTTTTAGATAACTTTGTATAGAATTATTGTTATGAAATCCATTGGCTTTTTAGGTTCTTTTTTCATGGGAATTGAAGCAATAAGAGTACGGTTCATTTGATGGGGGATTTTGATCCCTAAGTTAATATCTTATTTATTTACGTTGTAATGGATCCTATTTTTGGAGACTAACTTGTTGGTAAGATTTATCTACATATATACTCAGGATTTCTCTTAGTGCTTCACCTTCTTCCTTCTTGCATTCAAAGAAAAAAATGTTTCCATCAGCCAAAAAAAAAAAAAAAAAAAAGTGAGTTCGTGGGTCATTCTAGACACCTTAATTCCATTTGATCTTCCTTCAACAACTGCTTTCCTTGTGAGGGCTCAAAGTTGTGCAGCATAAAACAAGAATGGGTAAGGTGATAGGTATTCACCATGTCTTAATCCTCTTATGGGTTTTATTAGTTCAGATTTGTGACCATTGATTAGGGCTGAATAGGACACCGTGGTGACATATTGCATCATTAATTGCACACAATCTTCACCGAACTCGTGTGTAAGTCTAGTCACTTCTAGAAATCCTACTCCACCCAATCATAAGCTTTAACAATGTCCGCCTTTGCTACTCGTAGCCTTTATGCATTTCTTTCCTGTTTTTCATTACGTAGAAGCACTCGAAGTCCCCATTATGTTGGATGGACGAGAGATTATAGAAGGTAGGTGTTGCATAGGCAAGCTCCTCCTAGGTCTCCTAGTCACGTCTCCCTCGATATATGGCAACATACAAGCTGCCTATTTCATATTTCTTTAGATCCCGCCTTGTGTCGAAGCATTTACCCAAACTAATGAGCGACAAGCACCCTACAGATTTCTCCCTTGAGGTGTCACACAGTTCAATCGAATGAGGATCGATCGAATAGGATCGCCCTGTCTAGTCTAATCTTACATAATTGGGATTTTGATCCTTCCACTTCGAAGGAGTGCAAGGTCGACTAAGCATTCATTCAAACCAAAAAATAATGAAATAGAGAAAATCAAACATCAACACGTATGAAATAAAACCATTGTATTAAGACAAACATCGAGTTTTACATGACTAGAACCACTATGGTTCACATACCTATGCAACTAAAGGAACTAAACAGCCATAGAAAGGGTTTCTGGGAGATCATCAATCAAAATGAACTCCCTAGAATACCTATGGAATTGGCAGCCATAAAATAGAAAACAAGACCTAGGCCACCATTTCTTGCACCAACTCCTCCCTCGTGGTTGGTTTCACTCTAAGTAAAGTAAGTCATTATGTTGACATCTCGTCTCCTCATCCCTCGATTTCTATCTCTAGACACCTATTCATAGGCCTTTGATTAGGTTTTCTAGGGAGAGAAACTCTTAGCTACTGCATCATCCGGCCAATCAAAAAGCTCCAAACCCGTGGCTAGCTAATCAGGAAGAGCCACGTAAAACGACGGGAACAACATCTTTTCATATCCTGGGCAACCGTTTTGGGTGTCGTTTCCTTAATTCCATCTTCTCTTCTATTCGTGGCTCCAACAACTGGATCTCGATGTCCCCTTTGGCTAGCAAGTGGTTTACTAGACTGATCTGGCCTAAAAATGCACATAGCGGTACCAAAAGTGCATCAAACCCGCAAAAGAAAGCATAGAATTTCTAAAACACACTTGAAGCATTCATAGCACAAATTCAAGGAATTATGACAATAATGATATGAAATGAATGCACTGTCGCATAAGCGCAAACAATTCCCAACGATTGACCAATAGGCAAATAACTATGATGGAGATGGCCTTACCCACACTCCCAAAAGTAAGAAAGTGGCCCTCCTAGGGATAACCAAGTCACACATCATGTATTGTCATGATGAGCTCTAGATCAGAGATGGCCGATAGACAAAGCCTAGATGACCACCTCACACGATAATTCCAACCATACAAAATCTAGGAAGGAGCTTAAGAATGGTCAGAAAACCAGCTTATAGCTAGTCACATACGCATACAAGCATTGAATCATGACACAAGAATAGGTTGCGCCATCGATCCATGTACACAATGCATGTAACCACAAACCACAAAATGTAGAGACGCAAGGCCTTTGGTTCATGCATTCCTAATCATTTGCACATCCAGAACATGTCACCCTTACTCCATTCATAATGCATGCAATGATATGCAATGCTCAAAAGTTAGAAGCATAGTAAGCATACACGCACTCCATAACGAGTATACATGGTCAAGGATGGAGGCAAAGAACTAGAGCCCGATGTTGGGGTCCAGCTGACATAAATGTCGACACCTACACCATTTATACTACCATTTGGGATGGATGGGATGTGTTCTGAATATTGAAGTTACTTCTGATCCTATGGCAAACCAAGCACTTATTCTATTGAGCACAAGAGATCGAAAGATAACAAGATACTAGGAATACCTTTTACATTTGGAGAAATAACCTGGATGCCTTCCTTTCGCCATTCCATGATGCTTAAAGATTAGGTTCAACCCATAAAACTAGGTTCGACCAACTTTATTCTAGATATGCCAATTCTCAAAGCTACGCCTAAAAAATCCGAGCTATCTCTCGACGGTACTTTTCTTTGTTGTATTTAAGTTAGATGCCATACATGGGTTGCCTCCCATGACCAACGATCCTCGGCCGTCCATTCTTCTCCTCAATTATTGGGGGAGGATAATTCGAGGGAAGGATTAGAGTTATTTTCATGAACTTGTGGTCACTAAGCATGCACGTGTAAGGTACGTACCATCTCCTCGGATTCTCTTTTGTTGTTAGGCAATAACGAGTTCCCCTCGTTGAATTCCTTAGAGTGGACCTTAAATCCTTCTTAAATGTCAACTATAAGGGTCGAATCGATGCATTCCCCACAGTTGGGAGTAGGAGTTGCGAGGAGCCCCAAATTGAGCCTACCATGGTAGGGCTCAATTGTTTATCGAATACGTCTTTCTTAGGTTTTGCCGTAGTCATGTGTATGATATGCCATGCATTATCGAATCTCATCATAAGCTGATGTTTATGAATGTCGATTAATGCACCAAAAGTGGCCAAGAAAGGCCTCCCAAAGATGATAGGTAGTCCCTACCTCTTTGCATCTTAAGAAAACCAAAGTCGAGAGAGAACTCAAAGAGTTATATCTTGACTTTCAAATCCCTTACAATACCCGTTGGTCGACAAACCGTGTTTTCGGCCAACGCTACCTATGTGGTTGTGTCTAGGGGTGAACAAACACACGCAAACAGACCCATCCGTCCAACCCGACCCAACCCACCTGTATTTATCGCTAAAACGAAGGTTTTGGGTTGGGTGAGGGTTTTCTTTTGTACAACCCGCCTCTTTTGGGTTGGGTTTAGATTTTGGATTACACAACCTGTAGAATTCGACCCAACCCGTGTTCCAACTATTAGTATGAGTTTGTATCTAAAAAATATTTGTGTCGTATATAACCATACTTATGTGAAAATTAAGATATTTCGCCATGTTTTTCTATCATGGTCTCCCTAATCTAATGCATTCTTCGACTTAAAGTTTAGACATAAATTGAATATAGTTATGATTCACATAATCCTTTTTCTTGTGTACAATTTTAATAGAATAACATATTATGGATGCAATTGTTTATAACCTTTTTAGCCTATTTCAACAATATCGTGAAAAAAAACTAGACATATGTTGAAGTAAATCACATTTTATTAAAACTCAAACAACATTTGTGAATTTTGATACCTTTCACCTCGGTTTATTTGTTTGAAATTTTAATTAGTTATAAAATATTTTTATGGTGTATAATAATTATATATTTTATGTTGGGTTGGGTTTTCACTTAAAAATATCGCCAACCCGACCCAACCCAATTAGAAACAAACCGTAGGATTTAAATTTTTTGGGTGGGTTTGGGTTTGATAATTCCCAAACCGTAGTGCATGGGCCAGGTGATTAAAATACTTAAACCCGAACCAACCGACCCATGTACACCCCTAGTTGTGTCCTCGATGCGTTTGATTCCAAAATTCTTAAGGACATAGAGGGGCATCACATTAAGGCTAGATTGTATGTCTATAACCACATCTGTTATGTTAAGCTCGTTGATGACAAAAGGGATGGCAAAGTGGCCGCGATCGGGCTACTTTCGTAGCATGAAGAGCTGTATATGAGGAGGAATGTGTCCCCATAGTGAGATTTCGAGATTTCTCGTGCTCTTGCTGGAGAATTTGTTGTATTGCTTTCACAGGATTAGGCATCCCTACGATAGTTTCAACGTTGTTATGGGAGCTTCTATTCCTCCCAGAATCGAGAGAAACTCATTGAGTATGTTCTGACTAGAAGGACCAGAGGTTTCTCAAGGAGGCGAGAAAAGGTCCCCTACCACCAAATTGAAGTGAATTCTGGTTGCTAAGGTTGGTGAATCTTCTAGGTGGTCAATTGGTGGCCTCTTTCATTGTGGGAAACACATTATTTGCAGTTTTTGGTCATTTCATATTATTGTCGATTTTTAGTAATTGGGGGATTATTTGGGGTATTTGGGGAATAAACAGGGAGTCAATTGTTACGTTTTATTATTTGGGTAGCAGATAGGCATTATGCAG